TACGTGCTGAATTCCAGGCCAGCCATGGCCAACCAAGTGAGACATCCTTCAAAAAACAAACAGCAATAATAAACAGAGCAGTGTGTGCAAAGCACCAATTACATACTATAGGCCATTATTTCATCCGAGGAGGAGAACTCTGGGAACTGGAATAATCAGGGACTGCTTTGTGCTTCTTGAGCAGAGAAAATATGGACCAAGTTCTGCTCGCTAGAGTAAGTGGGGCATTTTGGAAGGGAACTGAACAGAGACACTCGTGAGGTCTGTTCACAGGACAGTCAGTGGGATATTCTGAACAGGGTTCGTGTTATCCACCCTTCAGAAGATCAGGCGCTGTGTAAGACCAAGTGTCCTGTGATACATGAGCACTCAGTGTTGGCAGAAGGACGAAGGCTACTCAACGGTCATCCAGGAAACCCTGGCTAGCAAGGCAGAATGGATATGCCTTCACCTCGTGAATCTCGTATAGTTGGAGGGGACGAAGAACAACAAGTCAAACTATTAGAAATAAAGTATCAAGTTGCAGTTGTGACATGTCTGTCAGTTTCTCTTGTCATTAGACTGTGAAGGGAACCTTTAAATTTATTGTGGATGTCAAGGAGGCCTCTCTGAGAGGACTTAACCTCACTATGAGGACTTAAAAATGAGTAGCGTTCTGAGTTAGGGGAAAGGCTAGGGGTTCAGGCAGAGGAACCTTGTGTCTCAAGAGGTAGCCTGGCAGGTTAGTGAGATGGGCAGACTGGTGAGGCTGGGACTGTGGGTGAGGCTGCCTGCCTCATGTGACATAAGACTGGAGAACTTGCAGGGGATTGTGGACTCTGTTAGGTATGAGATCCTTTATGCGTGCGTGCATGCATGCGTGTGTGTGTGTGTGTGTGTGTGTGTGTGTACAGAGACTTTGGTTACAGTACAAAATTGATTATTGGATGTAGATTGATAGGGAAATCACAGCATTTATTGAGGCGTGTCAAAGGCAAGGCAGTTGAGACTAGAAGTGTGTGTCCACTGAGAACTCTTTAGGAAGTACCACGTACAGGACTTGGTTTCTGACTTGCACTGACTGAGCACAGTGACAGTTAATGGCAAGGCACTGTAGGAAGGTCAGGCTTTGGGGTGTGTTAGTTACTGTCCTTGCTGCCAGGATACAATACCCGACAAAAGCAACTCAAGAAAGGAAGGGTTTGTTTCAGGTCACAGTTTGAGGAGACACAGTTCGTCATCACGAGATAGATGATCACATTATGCTTACAATCAGGAACCAGAGAGAGATGAATGCTGGTACCCAGATAATATTCTTTCAGCCATGAAACAATGCCTCCTGCATTCAGGGTGGGTGCTGCCTCTTCCATTGAACCTCTCCGGAAATGCCCTTACAGACATTCTCAGAGGTGTGTCTCCCAGGCAATTATAAAGTCAGCCAAGTTGATAGTAGACATCAACCATCACAGGAGGGAAGATGAGAGATTTGTTTGGGATGTGCTTTATTTCAAGGTGCCTTTGAGACACAGAGGAGAAAATGGTAATTAGGTGGTGTTGGATGTCCTTCTGTCTATGTGTTGCTTTTATTGGTTAATGAATAAAGAAACTGGCTTGGCCTGATAGGGTAAATAGGTGGGGAAAACTAAACTGAATGCTGGGAGAAAGGAGGCAGAGTCAAGGAGAAGCCATGGAGCTGCCACCAGAGACAGACACACTGAAACTTTGCTGGTAGGCACAGATTACTAGAAATGGGTTAAAGTAAGATAGAAGAGTTAGCCAACAAGAAGCTAGAGCTAATGGGTCAAGCGGTGATTTAAATAATATATTTTTTGTGTGATTATTTTGGGGCTGAGCTGCCGGGTGGCCGGGAAATGAAGAAACGGCCTCCTTATAGCAATTAGATGTTATTGTAGGTCCAACACTCAGAATAGAGCTCTGTACTGGTGCTGATAAACTTTGAACCTCCACATAAATGTCCAGTGATCTTCACCAAACTGCATGTAGGCGGTTACTATTGCTGCAGAAGTGTGGGTGTCAGATTGCTTAGGGGAGAATGTAGAATCAAAGATATATGGGTGCTATAACCAGGCCTCAGGAAATTTGAAAAACAGTAGGTCAGTGGGGGAAGATGGCTTTGCTCAGGAGGTACAGAAATTGTGTTTGTGTAGCTGATCATGGGATGGGTACTTTAAACTAGAAGCTCACTTGTGGTTTGCTTAATGGGATGTCTTTAACCCATAATACCAGGAGCTGAGGCAGCATCCTGTTTCTCAAAGACTCCCCTCGTGTTCACACAGTGGCCACCATCGTGGAGGTAATATCCTCACCAGCTATGTCTGAAGCAGGCCAGTGCAAGTCATTAGAGACTGTGTCTGCAGGGAGAGACATGTGGTTGAGGCCAGTGTGGGCTTCCACAGTGAGTTCCAGGTCAGCCTGAGCTTTAGCGTGAGATCCCAAGTTCTAGGCCAGCCTGTGCTATATAGTGTGAGACCCTGTCTCAATACGGTAAGGAAAGGCATGGAGAGTTTGAAAAGGTCAGAGAGAAAAAAGCATACCTTAGCATCTCCTCAGCAGATTCTGCCATCAGACATGTCCCCTAGCCACTTCTAGCTCCAGCAGAGGCTGAGGAAGGCTGTGTATTGGCGGTTATCTAGGATGAAAGACCACTTTGGTCAGCAATGGAACAACAGTGGTGTCTACCACAGGTGACAGAAAGAAAAGGGTCACATGGTGTCATGAAGCCACAAGAAGAGACAGATTTAAAAAGTAGAGAGAAGTGCCAAATGCCTCTGAAGAGTCAAGGGAATTCAGATGAAACGTGTCCACAGGGTTTGAGTGTGGTCACCAGTGCATAAATGTCAATGTTAGGATGGAGCTGGAAGGTAGTTTATAGAAAGAGACAAACCGTAATCTATCCAGGATGAACGTTGTCCTTTGCAAGCGAACATAAGAAAATCAAAAAGCTCGCTGTTGTGTAGCTTTAACTGGTACCCTGTAGCAGACCCTGTTGCAAAGATGCCACATGCTTGGGTGACTGACTATGAGGCTTCCTGTATGGCTGGCCTTATAAAACCAGAGGGTGCTGTTATAGGCTGCTGGGGTTAAAATAATCAACACTTTTCCCCGGTGATAAACCCAGTGAACTACAGCAATGGGCAAGTCATGGCCATGGGTGCAGCAGCGGCACAGATGTTAGTGAGGTAACCCACTGCTTTTAGACTGAATTTAAGGCCCAGGACATAGGAGGAAATGCTTGCCCGGCACCACAACTCAGCTAATAACAGATGGTTAGTAAACTCCCAGGACCTGGGCCTGAACTTACTGTTATTATTTTGCTAAATGACATAATGTCATACTGCCCTATAAATTTATATATTTTTTAATATTTATTTTATTCATTGTGTGTACAGTGTTCTGTTTGCAGGTTTGAGAGGGCATCAGATCTCACCACAGATGGTTGTGAGCCACTTTGTGGTTGCTGGGAATTGAACTCAGGACCTCTGGAAGAACAGTCAATGTTCTTAACCTCTGAGTCATCATCTCTCCAGTCCTAAATACATATTTCTATACCTATAGGTCAGAACAGCTCTTAGACATCAGATTTTTCTTTCTTTCTTTGTGGAGTGGACGGTGAGTAATGTAGACACCTACAACTGATCAGAGAGCAGAGAACAAGCCTCAGTGGAATGCTCAGCCACAAATGGAGCGTCTGTATCCTCCTCCCTCCCAAGGCTCAGGGCCCATCATGGAGGACAGATCAGGGAGGAGCTGTCTTCTGGACATGCCAGGACTACTGCATCTGTCAGCTTACAGAAGCTCAAGCCGGCTGTGCTGGGGAGATAGATCAATAGTTAAGACATCTGCTGCTTTTGCAGAGGACCCAGGTTTGGTTTTCTCTGCACCCAAATGATGGATCACAAACGCCTCTGTGGGTATCTCACATATACATGGTTCACACACACACACACACACACACACACACACACACACACACACACACGAAAGAGAGAGAGAGAGAGAGAGAGAGAGAGAGAGAGAGAGAGAGAGAGA